ACGACCTGGTACTGTAGCTGGACGAAGAGTAGTTGTCTTCGTACTGCTCCTGCCCAACTTCACCTGAGTCGTCCTCCTCAGCAGCTTCTTGCTGCTCGTTTTCTTCTGTGGCCTGCTCTGCGGCCTCCTCTGTTTCTTCTTCGTCTACGCTGTACCACACGCTTGTTGGTGCGTGAGGCAGCGTTGCTTCTGAGAACTCAGTCTGGTTGTCCTCGGGGATCACGGTGTCTCGATCCTCCGGGAGTCTTGTCACTGCCCTTCCACCCACGGTCCTGGTGACCTGCGTGGGCGCCGAAGAGCTGCTGCTGCCGTCCTCTTCGGGGACGCCGTCAACGAAGACTGTCTCGTCCTCGTCGGTCTCACTTCTCAGGTCCTGCCTGATTCTTTCCAGCACCTCCTCGGATGCTGTCTGCGTAGCGTTCTCGTCCACTGACTCAAGCCCTTCGCCAAGTAGTCCGTGAGCTACTCGACGTCCTCCTATCTCTCTTGCGTAGGAGTTTCTTGACGACCTCCCTGGGTTGCGTCTCACCTGCTCTGCCAGGTGCGGGTACCGCCTTGCAAAGCGATTGAACCCTCTCTGCGCCGCTGCTGACGCTGCACTGTGTGCAGGAATTCCTCCTCGCACTGGGTTTCTGTGGTCCACGAAGTCGGGGTCTCCAAGCTGCGGTGCTGACTGCAACCGAAGCCCCTCAACGTAGCTCAACCTTTCTGCTGTTGGTGCGTCCACTGGCTGTCCAGGCCTCGGGGCTGGAGCTTGCAGTAGCGCCTCGGCTCTTCTAAGAGCCCCTCTCTCAGCACGCCGCTCGACTGCAGCTGCTGATCGCCACCGGGTCTCACCCGGACTCCTTCGGCCCTTGCCTTTCTGGCCGGGCTTGCCCGTAGTGACGGGCTGTGGTCGCCGCTACTCACGCGGCTGGCCTCCTCTTCTCTTTCACCACCAGCGGCCGCTCCTCATGCAGCTCGCCAACTACTCGCGCGCCTATGGAGGCTACGCGGTGTTCCCCGCAGGTAGTGGTGACACCCACCGGCTGGTCCCAGGACGGCCCGGAACCAGCTCCGCTACCATGCGAAAACGGTTTTCACTCTTTTCTCCAAAGCCGAAATGGGCTAGCGGTGCAGGGTTTGCGTAGCAGAGGCATGCTTTACAAGAACCAGCTATTTCAGCTGAGGATTTCTTGCAGAAATGCCATGAAATGAATGGTGTGGAGGAATCATGGTTGAGTGAGTCATTGAATGAGCGCATGAATGCATGAATGCATATCATATGAAAGAATGCCTGAATACATCAATTCGTTAATGCACGTTTGCATGCATGCATGCATTAATGGATGAAGGAATGAAGGAATGAAGGAATGAAGGAATGAAGGAATGAAGGAATGAAGGAATGAAGGAATGAAGGAATGAAGGAATGAATGAAGGCGATGAAAGAATGCATGGATGAATGAACGAATGAATAAATCAACAAATCAATGGCTGACTGAATGAATGAATAAATTGTATAAATGAATGAATGATTGAAGGAATGAGTGAATGAGTGAGTGAGTGAGTGAGTGAATGGCTTGAGTGAGTGAACTTTCAAAAGTCAATGAACCAATGAGTGAATCAAAGGGCTGAATCAATGGATTAAATTTAATTAAATGGATTACATGGATTAATGAGTGACTCAGGTAAAGGATGGAATCCGATGGAATGAATATCAATGAACCAATGGAACAATGGATGGGTGTCCTGCAATTGTTGTCGTCGTCCCAAACCGGGGCGCCGCAATTCACAGGTCGGGTTCTTTCACTTCCAAACTACTTGCTAATAAAGTTGACATGATGGTGTGGGATCAGGTGAGCATGGAGAATGTCGGATCGGGTAGCGCTAGGTGCTTAAACAGTTGCCTATGATATTTAGGTCATGTTGTTTTGAGGTTTTGAGGTTTTGGGGTTGGGATTTGGTGTTCGGGTAGGGATGGTTCAAAGTCGGTTTCAGACTTGTTTAGGGCTGGTCTTGGGTCCCGGGTCTATTTATGGTTTGTCTATGCTTATTTGGGGTCGGTGTAAGGTCTATTAAAGTTGAATTGGGGTAGGGTTAGGGTTCATTCGCGGATGCAATGTGCGCTTTCAAATATGATATCTGTAAATGTGTGTGAATGATTGGAAAGAGACGTATGTACATATGCAAAGTACTGTATGTCCGAATCTGCATGCTTGGGTTCGAGTAGAAAAGCGGGAGGGGTGGTTAGGAAGGAGACCGCGGCGCTTCCCCTGGAACGCAGAATGACCTGTTCTCACATGTAAAGTTGTAGGGTGAATATGGTAGTTTAATTCACAACATCCACCTTGCGAGCATGTAGAATGTAGGTTGAGGGGTTGAGGCACGACCGTGTTGGGCATAAATAGTTTCATTGGATGCTTTCAATGTGTTCATATAAAGTTTGTTTATTCTTCGATCTTGGTTTTCTTATGAACATTATCATTAATTATCGTTTCATGTTTTTTTCCACTTGGTGTGTAGCTCGTTGTCTGCACAATACTTGCCGCATACTGCCAAGAAACCACCAGAACCGAAGAAAAAGAAACCAGAAAAAAATAAGATAACAAAACCGAGAATAACAAAAGTCACAAAAACCAGACTGGAAAACAAAACAACAATAGCCATCCTTTTGCTATTTATGTTACTTGGTTAGTTCGACGTTGCATCTTGAGGACATGTTTGTTTTTTTCTATGGCCAAACGTCGTTTTGGTATGTTTTGGTATGTTGACGGCACGTTTTTCTATCGCGAAACACGTTTTTGCATGTTGACGGCACAATTCTTGTCGCGAAACGTCTTTTTGTGCATGTTGAAAACACATTTGTTCCATCACAAAACGTCGTTTTGGCAGGTTGGCACTTTTTTCTATCGCAGAACATCGTTTTGGTATGTTGACGCGACCCCTTTGCATGCCGACGGCCGTTTTGAAATCTGTCAACGACACGCACCCTGAGCGAATCCGCTGTGGCACCGCACTGTGTCGCATTTGTCCAGGAGGGAAACGGGAGAAATTCAGCGGTGCGCCTGATTTTCCTGTTGCTAGTGACCACATCAAGGCTATGAAGTTGCGTCAAGGGTCTGGGGATTGTCGCCACACATTGGACATGTGGGATCAGGGTGGGAATGAGGCACTAGCAGAATTATGTCCAGGTGACACCCCCCATCTTGCGGTGAGACTCTGCTGAATATGTACGTCTCAAAATTTGGTATCCACAATCCAGTGGTTTTCCATCATTTTTGGGGGTACCCCAGTTTAAGACCACGGGTTGTCCACAAGACAACTCAGCACTTCAATTTTTCGTCAAGCTGGTGAAGGATGTGCTTGCCGTTGATGGTGTTCAAACAAAGGTCGATTGTACCAGCAGCTATTGGGTTGTCCTGCCCGTCAGTCAAGCTTTAGTGCCGTGCTACCAAGCAAGTGTGATTTGACTCGGATGTATGGCGAAGACGTGCTCAAGTCAATGTGAATCACACTGCAATGGCCATGTGCTTTTGGTGAAAGTTTGATGTGTTTTTTCCATGCAGGTCATTGAGTCATCTTATTTCCCGCCCGCATACGTGTTTGGTTTTTTCGTCATCTTCCTTGCAGAGTCCGTCTCTGCCGCAACGCTGGACATCGGTTTCTGAGATACGCAACGCTGGGTTTCTCTGAAAATAGGGGGAAACCGCCGGGGTACCCCAAAATACTGCAATTGGAAAAGTAAAAATGATGATCAGTAATGAAAATCTGGGGTGGCCTGTTTTCAGACTAACCTGTTTGTCCACCGCATTTTTGAGGTGTTGCGCCCTCAACCAGTTGGGCCAGCAATCTTTACCCAAAGGGTTCACCGCAAACGTCATGCTTGGGCACACAACACGCTGGGTTTGTTGCTTGCCTGCTTTCTTCCAATAATCCATTCGCCCTAGATGTCAATACCCCTCAGAAATGTAGGATTCGCATTGGACCTATTCATTTAGGGTCCCTTATAAATTGGGAGTATATGGTGTAGTAAACCAAATAATAGACCTGGCATTTGACGATGGGTTTCACAGCCCATTTCTGGAGAATTGGGGATTGTTTACTCTCGGCTTTTCTTCTCACGTGGCGCAGGGGGATCGAAGCGATACACACGCTGATTGCTGCTTTCAACCTATCCCAAAAGGTATCATCATTGCAAATATGCTTTAAAATCAGGATGTTCAAAAAACGACCAGCCACACACAACTTCCACTCTCAGAGCGAGAGTGAAGCCCCCACACTCGTTCCACCACGTCAAATGTCGGCAGTTTTTCGGCGCCAGGAAGTGACAACTGTACATCCCATGCCACTCGCATCGTTTGGCGAGTCTCCTGAGGCAACCGGGCAGATCGCCACCGCTGCACTCGGCAACGAGCTGTCGTAGAGCTCACTGGTGGTCCCCGAAACGCCCGGGGTTTCCACATAAACAGCATCCCAGAGACCAGATCTTTGGGGAGTGGGGCGACACCAGAGTTTTGCCGATTTCAATGCTGGGAGAAGCGTTTCCAGTCTGAGAACAAAGGTCAAACCAACCGGATTGGTTTCTGATCTGACCCTTGAATGGGGTTGAACCTGAAACTCGACAGTTGGGACACGTCTTCATGGTGTGACAAACCATTTGCACCTAGCCAGTTTCGCCAGATATGAATGGGATCCCAGGAAATGCAGGATCACCAGAGATTTCTGCCCAAAAATCCGTGCAACGCCATGCAGAATGCGTTGCAACAAGCCGTACTAAAGTTCATGGCGGCACCAGCGACCAGCTTCCCCCTGCGGGAAAAAAGCTGAAAATGAAATGATTGGTTTGCAGTCAGAGGAAACCCTTGTTTTTACGCTTAAAAAAGTAGACATGTCCTCCAATTTTCCCCTTCAACCAATTCTGGGAAAGATGAATCAAAACTTTCCTCACCATGTAGCCAGCAGAAACGGATATGTCAACAGTTGGAATTGGATATTTGACCAGTAGAATATGACAGAAGTGACCTAGCCTCTGGTACTCAAACGCGGCAACGGAAACTCCCAACAAAAATGGAGGGGTTTAATGAGAAAAACCATCTGTAAATGGCGTTGCCATGCGTTGCCGATGGTCACTGGCTGCGGTCACACTTCTTCAGCAGCGCAGGAGGCACCGTGGCGTGAGGCCTCGGAAACCACCGGACATGGCGCTGGATCAAGGGATCCGAGAAATCTTTCCCCGGTACTGTCTAAAATGAACATCGGTGATGGATGGTGATGGTCCATTTCCAGTTTGAGCTGCCGATCTCCACCAACGTGGAAGCCATGGTCACATAAGATTTTGGAGGGGTTGCGGGTTTGTTGAGGTCCCACGCTCCACTAACCTCTGTTTCCATGACTACCGATGGTTGGGAAACTCTGATTGTAGCTCCAACTGTCCATGGTTTTTTTGGGGAATACGGATACCCCTAGCTCCGAACTCCCTCCATTCACCACTGGATAACTACAGTGGATGGTTAACAAATCCTGCACCAAAGGGATGGTTGAAACCCTATGAATCATGGGATGTTGACCTATGAACTGGTCAACAGCCCGTCCACATCGTCCCCGTTGCCAGGTCACTCATGATGCCAGCATTTGTCCTGGCCAATTCTACCGAGCCCCGCCAAAAAAAAAAACGTATGTTTTGATGGGGAAACTGAGGATCAACCAGAGGATTCAAATGATCAGTTGGCTTCGATTTCAGATGCTACGGCAGTTCGATGTGCATTTTAGAAGATTTGTGCAGGAGTTTTCATGGCCCAAAGATGTCACCAAGAGGGGTTTTCTACAGAAAACCATCCAACTTCGGCCCTGACAAATGGGTGCACTTCATTTTGAATCAGCTGCCCCAATGAAGGAGCAGTGATCCCAATCAACTGGGGCAATTCAGTTCTCAAGAGATATTTTTGAAAAATTAACGTTGCCATGTTTTCCGGGTGGCGTTTAACAGACTGTATGGCCAGTAGTTGTTTTTTCTGCCACAAAAATTGACCTGATCATTCTGCAGGGTGGGCTCAAAAATGTGATACTATGTTTAAACCCACCAAGCTTAGTGGTATTGTATTGAACCAAACATTTTTGGACCAGTTTTGATCCACATGAATTTTGTTTCCAAATTGAGAGTCCCATTCCATCTCATGCTTCATCATGTAATTTTCCCGCGACCATCTGGCAATTTAACAGTTTGCCGTGGAAAATTACCCATGAATGTAGATGAATAAACGGTTTGCCATTTCCATTGCCATTTTCCATGGCAAACTCTAACCAAGTTTAGTAAATCCACAACATCAAAACATCATCTAATCCCCTTAAATCCAGCATTTTTCATGCTAAAATCCTCATTTTTCCTCCGTTTTCCCCCAAAAAATGGGGGTATCTCCCCAGATCCACCTGGGAAACTTGGGTCCCCGGACGGCGCAATATGGAACTGCTCCGTGCTCCTAGCACTGGATGGTCGAATCCAAGCCAAGTTGGGATGGAAACCAACTAAGGTGGATGTTACCATAGTGGTAACCATTAATGGGATGGTAATTTTTGCGGTTTTATGGTTGATTTTACCACAAAAATCAAGTAGTGCTGTGTAATCTTTTCCGAAAGCATCGTTGCAAAGCATCAGCTGTTACCTCTCAAGAATTTCCATGTACTCTTCACTCATTGGATGTGGCGATAATCCTAAAAACATAGGCATTTAGAACCTGAATGGAACCCTAAAACTTTGGAACCTGTCTGGTTGGAAAGCTAAGATCATATGTACCCTGAAACATCCTGAAACCATGTTTTTTCTAGAATAGGGTACCCCAATCCATCTCATGGTTGATCATAATTGTCCTTTTTTTTAGCAGCAGCAACAACAACCACGTTTTGGGGTATCCGCCAATTTTTGGAACGATCCCATATCTCACCAAAGTCTCCATCCCCCTTCGCTCCAGATCGTGGGCCCAAAGCCGTTTTTTCGGTCGCAGCCGTGCCTTTTTGGCCAGTGTGGATGCTGAGAAATGATTGCTATAGATGCATCTATTTAAAATATAGGTGTTTATCTATAATGTGTATGTATGTGTGTATACGTATATAATATATATATTTTATGTATATACATATGTATACATGGCCTTGTCCAGAAATGAGGTATACTCCCAAGACTGCCATTTGAATGTTGAAAATGATGATGCCCTCTTTGAACCGTGCCAATCCTCCCAGGCATCTACTTCCCAGGTATGTGAGATCCATGGTGTAACCCATCAAACGCTAGACATCCCAAAATGTCAAATGACGGGAGTTTCAATACTCCCAAGTCATCGCCGGGTACGAGTAGTATTTTATGCATATATATATATATATATTCATGTGCATATATATATATATATTCATGTGCATATATATACACACATACATTAATGTGTATATCTACATATATTAACGTATATTCTCATCCCTAGAACAAATGGATTTTGATTATACCTATCAACTTAAACAGACATGACCATCCCCAACCGATGACATTTGATCACATTCCTGTTCTAAACTACAACTAAACAATTTAAACCCAATCCTAAAGGTCCTAAACCAAACAAAATCTGTGCCAAAAAGTCAGATCTCCCCCACGTTTTGCTGATCAAAAATTACATCAAATGAGTGGCGATTTCTTAGAAGATACTGTAATACTAAATCAACCATCAACACAAGATACTAGATCAGTCTAAATCAACTAATGTAAATGTAACATCATAAAAATCATCATCATAATACTAATAATACTAATAATACGCGCAAACACCCCGTATCGCCCACACCCCTTCTATGCTGTACACTTGGGGATATCAAACGTTAGACTTTACATTCAATTGGGAAGATCAACAAGGGTATTTAGGGAATATAAATTTCCCACCCCCTTCAAACTTCTACATTCATTGAAGCTCTTCAATAAGGGTTTAATTCTCCCACCCCCGTTAAACTTCTACATTCATTGAAGGTCTTCAATAAGGTTTAATTCTCCCACCCCTGTTAAACTTCTACATACATTGAAGATCTTCAATAAGGGTTTAATTCTCCCACCTCCGTTAAACTTCTACATTCATTGAAGATCTTCGATAAGGGTTTAATTCTCCCACCCCCGTTAAACTTCTACATTCATTGAAGATCTTCAATAAGGGTTTAATTCTCCCACCCCCGTTAAATTTACATTCATTGAAGGTCTTCAATAAGGGTTTAATTCTCCAACCCCCGTTAAACTTCTACATTCATCGAAGATCTTCAATAAGGGTTTGATGATGATGATGATGATGATGATGATGTGTAAGAGACTCGCACAGGTCCCTATGCTGTGCGTGCCGCTATGCAACATGAAGTTAGCCATGATGCAAAAAAAAAAAGAAAAAAACATTTTTACCACGTGTTCAGCACATACGAAGATGGCCGCCGACAAGCGCGGGCAAAACGAGGTGTTTGCCCGTAATAATACTAATAATACTAAGAATACAAATAATACTAACAATACTAACAATACTAATAATACTAATAATACTAAAAAACTAATAATACTAATAATTTAATACATACTAATAATAATAATACGAATAATATTAATATAATCATAATGATAATAACAATATATAATATTCTTTGCTGATGTAAATCACCTCCAACTCCACTGCCTGGTGCGTGCAGAGCCATCGCCAGGTGCTCCCAATCGCTGTGCAGCGCAGCTGCTCCTGGTGATCACAGCAAAAATCCCAGCCCAGAACCGATGTTTTATGGGAAACTGTTAGAGAAATGTGGGAAAAATCATGGGAAACATTGGAAAAATCTGAGAAATCCATGGAAAAAAAATATGGGAATCCCCAAAGTACATGGAGGTTGACAGCTGGCAAAAGCATCGATGAAAGGGGGAGAATTGTCCATTTCTATGTTTGATTTACAGGGTATGGAAACCAACTTACTAAGTTGACCATGTCTTATATAACTTTGGGAAATTGGAAAAAAAAAGAGATGCCATATTTCTTGGGATACAGATAAACCATGAAATACTATGCACTACCCACCCATTCTGGGATGTAGAATAAAGTGGGAGACATATCTGAATCATATACCATCTGGTTATTTAACATAGCCATGGAAAATCACATTTTTTTTATAGGTAAACCATCTATTTCTATGGGCCATCTATACCATGGCGATGTTAAATCCGCCCGCACCGAAGGTGCTGGGGCGTGATCGTCCGGATGGCACTCGTAAAAGGTTACAGGTTTACCTGGGGGGGGGGGAGGCATTTTTCGGCCAAAACCTCCTGTTTTTGATAGGTCGTGACGCTCGCCTTCAAAAAACACTGTAAAAAACAGTACGGAAGACACCTGTTCGTGAACGCGCCCGTCCAAAATCGGCAAGCGAAAAGTGAAAAAAACCCGTGTTTTTCAACTTTTTGACCTCAATTTTTTGGTTTGCAACATCTTTTTTTTGCGGTTCCGCAGGTGGCCTAGCCCGGAGGCCTGATTTGCGTCGTTTTGTGATAGCAGAAACACTGGTTTTTACAGTGTTTTTCTGTTTTCTGCATGCTTGACGGCTAGCTTCAAAACTTCCAAAAACCTCGTAAATTACGCTGTTTTATGTTACGGTGTGAATGAAAACATCGTAAATACCAGTGTTTTTTGACGTTGGTTAAAAAAACACTGTAAATTACAGTGTTTTTGGCCACCTGACCCTCAAAAACCATGGTATTTGCAGTGGTTTCTGCTTCTCACCGCGCAAAAACACTGTAAATAACAGCAATTTCGCCGTTTTTTCATGTTTTTCGTTATTTTTTGAACTGCGTTGGTCCGCTATACATGGCTATCAAATTCTTCGCGTTTTTTTTTTCCGACAATCAGTACTTTCGGATGTTTTTGGTCTCAATGGCCGACATCATTGGCAGTTACGAGCGGTCGCGAAGGTGTGAGAACAACATCGTTCAAACCGTGGCGGCCGCACAGGGGTTCTTGTCGCGGAGCGACGGCAATAGAAGAGAACAATGGCAGTAGAAGAGAACGATGCGGTGCGGGCAGTTGCCGTCGCGAAGCGACGTGAATAACCAGAGGGTAACTTATCATATAACCAATTTTGTTTGCTCCACGGTCCAGTTACATTGGATGAGTTCTGGTCATCATCCCACCGTCGATATGTGAATTTATCCCCTGGAAAACAAAGCAAGGTCAGAGTCTGAAATATGCACCTTGAATTTGATGATCACTAAATTTGATTGCCAAAAAAAATGATAATAGATTTACATTTTAAAAGTTAACACTTGGGAAAATGATGATAAGATGTTTCCGATCATTTGGGATGTTCCATTTGCAGCCGATGACCGGGATCACCGTGATTGAATCCAACGAGTTTGAGCGTCGCTCGTTAAGTACTTGGAATGCTCACCGGACATTGCCACGTGGTACTCCCAGAAGCAATAGTCATAGCCACTGCGGGTGGGATGGCCCAAGAAATGGATGGTTTTCTACTTCAGTTCCGGTTTTTCTTAGTTTTTCTTATCCTTTCCCTACCCAAAAGCAGGTTCATGTAATTCAAAAATCTCAGAAATTCCAAAAGACCCGGGATAAGACTGGCCATCCAAAAGGTGTTTCCGTTGACGAAGGGGGGCCTCACTGAATCCATGCCGAGCGTCTAGGATCGTTCGGAAGATGTCGTAGATCAGCAGGACAAACAGTACTCGGACGGGCGACAGATGTGGAAAACTGCCCAGATGGTTGGATAAGATCACCATAGATCACCTTTCTGAAATGGGGGAAAAAAGTGCCGACATGAGATGATCAAGAAGTGGTGACCCCTAATGCCCGGGAACCACCATGAAGCCCAATTAAAAACTACCAGAAAAGTACAAGGCTTTGTCCAGTCCTCCCCCATGGTTCTCCCATGGCGAATTGGCAAGTATCGGCGCTTGTCCCAGACCCTCACCAGTTGGATTCTCTTCACATCAGCCACACAGGCCTGGCGGCTTCAAACAAACGGGTTTAAATTTTAAACGATATTTTGAGGTCCAGAGTCCTTTTCAAAGATATATGTTGTGGTTTTCAAAGATATTCCGTTGAAAGGAACCTAACATATGTGGCTTTCAGGGCTTCCTCTAATCTTTTCCGCTGATATTCGAACGGGAAATCCATGGAAATCCCAGTAGGTGGCATCTCAAAGAAAAGGCACGACGCGCCTCTTCCAGGCCAGAGGGCACCATGCCACAGCGGTAAGGTACCTCTAAAGGATGATCAAAAAGGATGGAGATGGAATTCTTGGATTCTCTGCAATACATTAACATCGAATCGATACAGAAAAAAACCCAGAAATTGTAGATCATGTTCCTTAAAAAAAACATTGATTATCATTATCCACATCTATATTAATTTATATTGCTTTAATGTGCTCAAGGGTAAGTTTGAATGTTTGGTCAACCAAGATTCTTTGAGCTGTGTTGCAAAGCCTCTGTTCCCAGAATGGGCCTGCCAATGGTCCCCAAGACACCGGGTATTACAATCCCTACAATGGATCAACAAGGAGTTCGGTCACGTGACATCGGGGTGTTTCTTGAAATTTGGGGAACTTCCCAAAATCATTCAAAACTCGTCTCTTTACCTTAAAAGGTCAAAGATCTTTGTTTTCTATATAGCTTACATGGTCATTTCAACATTTTTCGGAGAATTCCTCAACTTTTCACCAATACTCATCCCACTCGGCACGTAAGCCATATCTGCCTCGTTGCTCCAAAGGTTCCTGACCAATGGAGATATGGCCACAGGGGAGTTGACCCACCATTTGACACGGCGACCAAGACCGGGGGTGTCAACCATCCCAAATGATGTGTCTTAAATTGTCTTAAGCTCTTTTATCTTCCAAAAAAAAGAAAAGTGTGCAAAAAGTGTGCAAGTCTTCAACCTCAACAAAATCGGAAGAACCTAAAGACGGTGAGTTTCAACAATGGTCGTTCCTAGCCCGCATGGCTATCCAATGAGACATGAACTGCTGATCCATCGAGACAGGCCGTAGGACTTGATCCACCGCAAAATCACGGCACAGCTGACAGAAAATTGTCCCAAAAAAAAGTTGGATAATAATTATACATAAGTATATTACAGAGTCATCCGAATTGCTCAATAAACTGCTTTCATACTCCATCCCAAAAATTATATTTCAACGATTCACCAAACCACCGGTTAAGATTAGTTGTACGAAACTACCCATCCACTTGGTTGATCGTCAAATGCATCGGTGATGGCTCTTGCCATTTTTCAAAATCCACGTGCGAATCACCATTTTTCATAACTCCCCAATTTCGCTCATTGAGATGTCAATGTTTCCTTGGTTTAAAACATGTTCAAACCCCCTTTTTGAAGGATGGTGACGCCCAACCCTTCCATCAATTCATTGATTAAAGGGAAAATCTGGGAAAAAAAACATGTAAGAAATTCTAAGAATTTCATCGAAATTCTAAGAATTTCATCGAAATTCTAAGAATTTCATCGAAATTCGGGGTTTTGTTTTACCCCCAAAAAAAAACAATACTTTCCTGTCGATTTTGATCCATGGATTCCACCCAGCGCACTGTTTGGGGTGGTGCTGCCGGTCGATGATGCGAATGCGGCCCACCGAGACGTGTACTTCGCAGATGGCCCCCGCAGGGCCGCCGTAGCCCCAGACTTTGTTCCTCATGGTGACAGCATGGGGATCGAATGTGGGATTTTACCAATATGAGTCAGAATGATTGAGATGGTAAAAATATCCCTATTCTATCCCCCATTGGTGATCCATATTTTACCAATGGGGATATATTTACCAATGGGGATAGTAAGATGGATTGTATCCCTATTTGTTCAAAACTTTAGGCCAAACTAGCCCTAAATCTGCCGGTTTATCGTCCTTTTCCGATGTGAATTGGCCACAAATTGCGATATGCATCGATATGCCTCATTTTCGCGCATACCCAAACGCCGATTGCAACCGAGATCCCACGAAAAATAAGATGGAATGGATTTCGGATTTGTTTTTTTCTGGTCATTGATATCATGGGATATTCCAGCAAAAATGGGATCGGGATTGATATCCATCCCCCTTACTTGGGTCAATAGTGTTTGGATCTAACCACCAGGTTGTGCAAATGATGACCAGCAGATCAGCGCTTGAAAGAAAGGTGGAAACGTTGGAGAATGGCAAGCAAACTTAGTCTTCAACCACCAACTTGATTTGCAAAAAATGAAAATACCAGATCAAAAATAGAACAACCCTTAGTAACCCTAGTAACCCTAGTAACCCTAGTAACCATAGTAACCCTAGTAACCCCTAGTTGCCGGATCTCAATTGTGGGGTATCCCACATGGTTGTCACGAAGGCTGACATTCGCAAATGGCCAGTTATTTTGACAGATGTGCTTTTCCCCAGCGATTTTTCAGGGAAGAAATCACCATCAAATCGAAAACTGCTGCAAAAGTCATCCAACATTGTCTCAACAATGGTGGATGTAACCTCAATACCCTCTGGTAAACGTTTACGTAACGATGGAAAATCACCATGCTATTTATGGGTAAATCATGGTAAATCCACTATTTCGACTGGGCCATTTTCAAGTTCGCAAACTGTAAACGTTTACCATGCCGGGTATCTATGGCACGGATATCGAAACCCAAAATTTTGCCAAGTATCAAATCCCGGGAGATATAGACGCCGCGCCCCAACATGCCTGGCCAAAGGACGTAGCACGCACTCTACGACGGTTCCACAAAAACAAAGCCAGCCTCAGAATTTGGAAAAAAAACATGGGTTCAAAGGTTATCTGTTTAACTGTTTAACGTTATCAAAACTTCATTGGGGCAGATAATTCAATGTTTGTTTCGTCTCTGAAACTGCGATGCAAGTGCAGCTGAGGTGCCCTGTGTTGAAACACGTAACCCATTTTCGCGGATACCTGGGAGTCAAAATTGACCATTTCTCACCCGACCTCCCCAATTTGGACATACGATATGAGTCAACATCCCACACTGGCCATTCTTGGCACAATTTTTGGGATACCTGATCATCTATCGGAATCTATCGGAACGTTGCACATATACCGTATTTCTTAGCTGTGTTAGGCAGAGCAGCGCGACTTTTGATCCATTAAGAGCCTGCGCAATCACAGGCAGTTGTTGCGCTGATAAGAACAGATACTTCACCTGTCCAGCAGTGATAAGAACTAATACTACATCTGTCCAGTTGTACATGCATGCACATGAACCCTTTTGCACTCCCCCCACGACTTTGTCGTGCATAAAAGGGGGCTTCGCCGGGAGGCTCTTTAAGGATCGGCTAAGGGCTCAAGGCTCTTAAAATTGGATTTGCCAGTGATGCCAGGTTGTTGTTAGGCCCCACTGGTCTTAAAATCACTACGGTGCATAAAGACTTGCACCTTCCATCAACCTTGGCATGTAAAGACTCACACCTTGGCTGACATCGTGGCAGTAAAGACTCTGCCAAAGGAAAAATGCCCGGCTCTCAAAAGAGCATCTTTTCAAAATTGCGCTCCACCTGGATCATGCCGTAGAGCTCGAAGTCACTGACAGGGCCGGTGAATCGGATCTCACCGTCACCCTATCGGCAGCCTCTTCACGGCGCTCCACATAAACATTTGTGGAACTCGCTGCAGCTTTCGATGTTGTCGTTGGCGGACGCAACACCGGTCGCAGACCCAAGTCTGCTGCAGCTTTGGCTGGTTGAACTCCTCGTTCTGCTCGAAGTTCGCCAGTCATCCGCAACATATGGGACAACGTCGCCCTCTGACCAGGGTTTCCCATCATCTGCTGTTGTGGTGGCTGCAGACTGCCACCTTGATCACCACCATATCCTGCCGGACCTTGTGGTCTTTGCTGCATCGGCGCAGCCATTGGTGGTTGCCCTTGTAGAGGTCCAGGCACATAGTTCGGAGCTGCCCTCGGCATCACCTTGGCCGGAGGTGGACCCATTGGAGGTGGTCCCGCTCTCATTTGAGGTGGTGGGCCCGCTGGTGGTGGACCTGGCATTGCATGTTGTGCTGGAACTGCTGGTGGCTTGGCCATGCGGTTCATCCAGTCCTGCATGTTCTGTCGCTGAAACCAAGCTGCAGGGGGAGGCTTTTTGCCAGGCTGAACCATTCCGTGCTCAAAAGGAACTCCCGGGTCAGCCTCCTCTTCTTCTGTGCCATCTCTTGTCAAGCCAGTCTTTGGCACAGCCATGACATTTCCCTGGAGCGCAAGTGAACGCGTCACTCCAGGAACCACTGTCCTGCGAAGCATCAAGCCCACCTGCGCAAAGTCCATCTCGACCTGCAATCCATTGAGCACACCATATCTGTAGGTCTGCATGGATCCAACCCAACTGGTCTGATCCCACTGGACCCAACGTCCATACGTCAAAGGGATTGTTTGGCCCTGCATCAGCGCTGTCATCACCTGCTGTACATGCTGCGCTGGCGGTGCTGATGCCATGCCAAAACTTGCCTTTGCCCGCATCTGTTGCCCCAAACTTCCTGGGACCATTGGCGCCATCTCATGCTCTGGGTTGTTGCGCGTTCGCCTTGGAGGCAGCGCACTTTCAACCTCTGTGTCCTGCTCCACATGGACCTCTTCTTCAACGTTCTCTGGCTCTGCGTTGACCTCTTCCTCAACATTCGCTGGGTCACCCGCAGTGGTCGAAGTGATTGCCACCTCGGTTGCTGTGGTAACTACTGGTGGATCTGTAGCAGGTCCTTCGGCCCCACCATCATCACCTCCACCATCATCTCCATCGTCGCCCTCGTCCTCTTCAGGGATGACCTCCATGTCATTCTCAGAGGCCTCTTCCTCCGCAGTCTCGCTGCCATCTTCATGCAAACCATCTGCCACAGGCTCCAAGGCTTCACTGCCCTTTGCCTTGCCCTTCGCTGCGTAGTGGGCCTGCAGCTCGCCAGTTGTGGCTGGTTTGCCCTTTCCAAGTCGTGCTACCGAGGTGCGACTTTTACTGCTGCTGCTGCCAGCTTGGCCTGGGGTGGTGCCGCTTTCCGTCATCTCCTGAACATCCGCAGCGTAGTCCACCGCTGCTGTAGCTGCCTCCACCGCCAGAGCCACCTCATTGGAGTCCTCGCTAGTGACATTCACCTGGTCGTTTGTGCGCAACGCCTGGACCGCCTTTGCATTGGCCGTCGCCAGGAGGATGCTTCTCCTCTGTTCAGCCGGCGTATCGCCACGCCCCATCAGCACCGGGGCTGCCTGCGCTGAACCTTTTCCTCCTTGGTCATGTGTGAAGAGCTGGCGGGGTCGACAGCCCTTGGCGAAGATCCTTTGCCAGGACAGGTTTGGACTGAGCGCCCCATGGATGATCGTTGACCCATCCTTGCCCGTCTCCACATCCTGCTTGGTGCCTCTGCCACGTCCCCGAAACCAGTATCCAGGGGGTCGCGCCCAAGCCATTCTTTGCCTTTTGACATCCAGGGTTGTGCATGTCCTGCGTGGACTTTCTTCTTCATCTTCATCTTCATCATCCGCTGGAGGATCCGGCCCATGGTCTCGTTCTGGTTCTCGTCGATTTCGACGATCTCGGCCAGGATCATCTCCATCTCCACCTGGTGGGGGCATAGCCATTGCACCATGCTTGCCCACTCGTTGCACTTGCCTTGCAGTCTGTGGGCGTTGCTCCTCATCTGCACCCTCAGAGACCAACTCATAGCTCCCATCAGACTGCGTGTCATCCACCTGTTGTGCAAGTGGTCTTGGAGGTCGCTCTTGTGGTTCTGGTTCTCGAAGACGTGGATCATAGTTGCGGATCGGCACGTACTCAAACCCAAAGCGACTGCCCCTCATCACTCTTGTTCCCATTGCTGCTTGCCCACGTTGTTGAACTGGTCCAAGCTGTAGGGGTTCTGTTCCGGCCCAAATGGCCGAAGTTGTAGGGCTCATCATTGCTACCCTACCACGTTCAGACACCTTGCCAGTGCCCTTTCCTTTTTGGTCAGGCTGACCATCCATCTGGCCTTGTTGGCCCTTGTAGTGACCTCCTTGGCCCTCTCCATGGCCAGGCTGGCCATCATCTTGGCCATTGTGGCCTTTTCCCTTGGTTGCCCTCGAAGTCGGCAGTGAAGAAGTTCCTGTTGCCGAACTCCCTGACGACCTCGCCGTGCTCTCCATGGCGTGTCGCCCGGCACCCAAAACCTCAGTTGGCGGCTCGAGCCCAAGGTCCTCAACAGAGAAGTCCTCAATCGGATCTCCTTCAAGTCCATGCCATTGCTCAGCACGACCAACCAAGTTGCAGTTGAAACCATGCCCATCCCCTTGGCGCCTCTTCGAAAGACCTTGTTGTTGACGTCTCTTCCCATGGCTGACTTTGAGCGCCCGAAGTTGCGGCCCGTGGCAGCCCGAAGGGCAGTTGTCAAGGTTTTGAGATGATCTTTGTGGGGAGGAAACTTGATCCCTTTGAGGATAGTACTCAGCACTAAGACTACGCTCCATGTTCGAAACCCTAAGGTTTCTTTTCCCCTCCACATCGATCATCCCTTTTGGGGAAGGTTTCATGGCCTCCTTTTGGCTCTTGTTGGGCGGTTCATTTTCCCTGCCCTCTTCTTGCATGGTGGGTTCATTTGGGGCCCTCACCATGGTTTTCATCAACCTACGGGGTGGTTCATCTTCCCTACCCTCATGTCTCAACGCCGGTTCATTTGGTGCCCTGACGTTGGCCTCTTCCATGTCAGTTGGTTCATTTTCCCTAACTGACCATGGTGGGGAAGGTTCATTTTCCCTTTCCCTCTTTTTCATCATCCAACATGCAGCAACGATGAGGCCCAGACCAGTTTCTTGACACTGAGAGTCATCTGTCTCCATCAGCGTCTGGCCAGTTGAGAGAAGCCTCACTACTATCTCTTCCTCCGCTCTCAACTCATCTTCTGCACGTCGTAGATCGCTGAGATCGTCCAGGTAGATGGAGTCCACAAAGTTGTCCATCTTTGGTCCTTGAAGCGGTTTCGTCGCTCCATCAGCTGGAAGCACCAAACCACTGACATGCCTCGCACACCATCGCGAGAGCTCATCTTGAAACGCTTCTCGAAGTCGAGCATACCTGATCCTCAGATGTCTTGTTCTCCAACTACCTGTGTCATTGGTGCACAAGTGAAGTGCGCTTTTGGAATCGCAGTTGAGGGTCTTGTTGATGTCCCCAACGCCCATCACCTCCAGGAGTGCTGCAAGGCTTTCTCCACACTGGAAACCTTCTCCACAGCTCACCAGTTCACTTTCGGCTGTTGAAGTGGTAACAAACGGCTGTCTGCCACTTGCCCATGCGATGGGAGAACCCCCCACACATAGTATCACCCCAGTCACCGACTTGTAGTTCTCATGCTCCAGGGCGTGCGAAGCATCCACAAACACCTCCAAATTGTTGATCGACACCTGCGTGGCCAGCTCATCATTGCGACCATATGGTTTTTGTGCTGAGGTCTTCATGTAGTGCAAACCCTTTGAACTCGTTGCACTCAAATACCTCAGTAACTCATCTCCAAGCTTGACCACATGTCTTGCTCGTCGGTGCGCAAGACGTGCCATGACACCAACATGATACACCATGTCAGGTCGTGTTCGGGTAACCAACCACTGCAGTTCCCCAATGACTTGTTGAGCTTGACGAAGATCTCCTGTTTGCACCTCCTCAGTGTCGTCTTCGCCCAAGTTGGCAAACAAGTTCTTGACTGGTGCCATGCCAGCCTCCATGCCATGTCGTTTCAGGACGTCCTTGAGGTATCCACATTGATGTAGAAAGAACCCGTCCTTGACCTTGGCAATCTCGTATCCACAAAACTTCATTTGGTGGTCTTCAGTGACCATTTCTGGTGGGCTGCATGTCCACCTCCTTTGTACAGCTTCCAACATCGCATTGGCTTGTTCTTGTGGAGCTCCAACGAGAAAGTCATCAACGTAGGTTGCCAAGAAG